TAAATATATTATAGCAACTATATTATTTTACGAGCTTGCCTTATAATCTTTACACCTTTTGCAATTTAGCTAATACAAAGCTGATTATTTCTTTATTTATCTTCTACTTCTTCATCGACATTTTCTGTATAGCATTCCAAAGTAGATAGTCTTTATAAATAAAAGGAATGGAGTAATTTACCAACTGATTTTGTTTCATTGGTTAGTAGGAGTACGTAGATAAACTTTTATTATTTTGTTTTTCATTTATTGTTAATAATTTTGTAGGCGGAATATAAATCTTTTTTTATAACTTTTATAGCGTTTTATAAAAGCAACCCAATTGATTTATGCATTTATATCATTACTATAGAGCGTTTCACGTTAAGAAAATAACATTACGCTTTTCAGAAGATCAGTGTTGCCAAAACTCTCAGGCATGCGTTGGTATTAGATTGTCGATATATGATTCATTCTAATCAGAGCCGTATTCAGCACTGTGTAGTTGTAGTTAATTAATTTCACTAATAAAAGGATATGTATAGTTGAATACAAAATAATGCATTATAAATACCTGTTTCTTTAATTGACAGATATAGGTATGCATTTATTATAGGTCTAATAAAAATAGTTAAATTTCACTATTGTTTAACATTACATATTGATTAACGCTTTAAATAAGATATAACTAAAAAAAAACAAGTGCAGCTTTAATTTATTTCATGTAAGTAATAACAACAATTACATACATAAAAATTTTTCCTTATATAGGTACAGGGTGAATCACCACTAACGGAACGAAAGATTACAGCAAAAGAGTAAAAAAATTAAAAAAAAATTAAATTATAGTTGTATAAAAAGCTACATTTTAAAATTATTTTGAAATATACAGGGTATCCCAATTACAGGGTTGTTACTCCATCTTTTGCGCGGTCGGCCGATACTTCTACCGATTATTGATTTATCTCTTGCTATTTTGACCACACGGGCCTCCCCCATTCTGCTTATGTGGTTATTCCAGTCTTTTTTCTACTTAGTGTCCATTCATTTATAAACTATACGTTATATATATATATATATATATATATATATATATATATATATATATATATATATATATATGTATTAAGCCTAGAGCTAAGATTTATATAATTATAAAAATTAATATTGAACTCACCAGTCTTCCGGGTTGAACCGCGTGGATATCCATTGGGCCGAGCTTTCTACATCTTCTCTGATGTATTCTTTATGGTTTCCGAGATTTCAGTCTCCCGAGTCCCCGGACACTACTACACTTATCACTAGTCACTTCACTATAAGACTTTTTGGATTTGGCACTTTGTGTCCGTCGATTTGCACACTATCACATAATTTACTCACTGCATATTAACATCATCCTTATCTTCTCTATCATCGCTATCACTTTCATTACTGTCACTGTCAACCGTCACATTTATTACCACAGGATCAATATCGTCCATCAACCCATCAATAACCCAAAATTTTTGCTCTTCCTTAATAGCAAGTTTACAATAGTTTTTCCAGTTTTCCACTGTTACTACACCAAATGCATTTCTTATTAATTGTTCCATAGCGGCGGTCTTAAACTCTGTGTTGTGTGAGGCAATATGTCTTTTGACTTGACTCCATACCATTTCAATTGGATTTAACTCACAATGGTATGGAGGTAGTCTCAGAATGGCAACATTTTTCTCTTTGCACATCTCGTCGATTTTATATTTTATGTATTTTTTTTGTATGTGTTTACGACTTCCATGAGCTCTGATTTTAAATAATCTTCTTAAAAAAATATCTTCCTCCAGCAACCACGTCTTAATTTGATCTTTATTGAAGGCTTGTGTCGGAATCACTTCTTCTCTCCTCGAATGGTACGAAGCGTTGTCCATCACAACAGTTTTCTCTGGAAGATTAGGAAGCAGCTTTTCCTTAAATCATTGTTCAAATATAGTCCGCTGAGTTTTTTTAGCTAAAAACCAAAAAGCAGCAACTTCTACAAAGCCCAATTCGCTACCTGCATGCACTATAACAAATCGGGGGCCTCGTTGTGTCGGTTGTTTTAGGCCTGTTGACAATCCCTTAACAAACGCATCCCTGGTTGACGTCACTGAGAGGTCCTTCCATTCTTTGGAAACACTATGTCCAACATTCACCCAAGTTTCGTCCAAATAAACGACGGTGTATCCTTGAGAACGAAATTTTTTTATTTCACGCAAATACTGATGCCATTTTAGAATATCGGGCCGTTCAATCATGCTTGACTTTACTCCTCGTTTGCAAAAAACAAAGTTCATTTCATGGAGTATTCTCCATATTGTTGTGCGTGGCATGTTTGCTAAATCTTTGTCTTTTTTAACCAGTGCAATAACTTTGTTTAATGTCGGCGGTAAATTAAAAAAAAAAAACGATGCATGATGGCACATAGCCGCATATGAACTACTGCATCGTAAGTGAACTTTCTGTTGTTTACTCTACTTTTGGTACGTTTTATTGTTTTTTTTTTATGACACTCCTGTCATAGCACTTAATTTATCGGTTAAATTTATAATTTCATCATGAAAGAAGCAGGTGAAGAATTAATAGGCATAAAACGTAAAATAAGAAGAACAATATAGAATGACTGTTTTGACAAAGAATATCGTTTATAATAGAGATACAAAACAGAGCATATTTAATGATGCAACACGGGTACAGAACCCGACAAGCAGAGAAGAAAAGAAAATACACCACAGAAAAAAGAGAGAAACTATAAACAAAGAACTTTAAGAACTACAAGATCTAGTAGCATAGAAACCAACTGACAAGTAAAACGCTTTAACAATAAGTAAAGAATAAGGGTAATATATGCAGACAGCAATAAAAACTAATCAGATGAAATTCCTGAATCAGACCGACCAGAAATCAATGTTTTAGATTATATTGATATATTAGATGTTCGTTTGCAATACTCCATTTAAACTTTACTTTTAATTATGTGATAATTCCTCCTTAAATCCACAATTATATCGAGAAATACAAAAATAAAACTCTACAAAACAATAATACGCCCAGTACTAACATATGGTTCAGAGACCTGGACTCTAACAAAAAATAATGAAAACATGTTAGGATGTTTCGAAAGAAAAGTACTAAGGCGAATCTATGGTGCAGTAAATGACGATGGAGTATGGAAAAGACGATACAACTTCTAACTTTATAGAATATACCAGGAAGACATGAGAAATATGGGAATATGTGCATGGCGGAGAAAGGCGATAGATAGGACTGGAGATAAATTCTTGAGGAGGTTAGGACCCACGTAGGGTTGTAAAGTCAAAATGATGATGATATTTACAACCTCTTTTATTGTTACGCGGCCTACACATGTTCTTGTTTTCTACAAATACCCAGCGATATACGTAGGCGATTTTAACAGTCCCCCTGAGATGTGGAAGTACTTTAAAAACGACAAAACTGGATTTTTAAAGTGGTTAGAAGAACATGGTATCTACCATCCTTTCAACGCCAAGGATAGAGACACTTTTAGATCTGTAGCTTCAAAAAGCGAGTATAACCTTGATCTTTGTTTTCTTACCACTGACGACAAAGGCCAACTTCTACTGTGAGGCAAAATACCCTCTCCAAATTACGATTGTAAAACTGAAAAACAAACCTTTAAACACATGCATACAAAGCTGTGATATAGCCATACGTTCAATAAATAAACAACTACTGTAAATATGCTACTCACACTATCCTTACCTACAAATTGTTTCATTTTCACCGGCAAGACCATAGACATGTGACGGTTAACTCTGTTAGAGAACAGACTTAGTAAAACGCATGGTAAAATTAAAATAAAAATGTATTTGAAACAAATAAATAATAAAATAAAGTTATGTTTAAACTAAATAACAAACTGCCAATCCTGCGGCTGTGATCTGTTTAATATCTGCGAAAATAGAATACAATTAATGTCATAAAATCCAAACAATAATTACGATGTGTTAATACACACGCCGCAAAGACAGCAAAGGACGGGTCATTGGAATAGATATGAAACGGGCCGATCAACACTCGGTGTGGCGAGGAGCGGACAGCGACTTATCAATACTTAGCCACGGAAAAGAATAAGTCTGTCTCAAATTAATAGTCTAAGATCTGGTACGGAACTGCTATTAGATCATTACTCTAGCAAAAGTGGTTTTACTTCTAGAATACCCAGGGCCAGAGGAGTTGTTATCAGATCTACACTCTGACGGAACTCGCTTTTCTCGTGCAGGGGCTGCTGCTTTTTACGGTTGTAGCACTTTCATCTCCTCTAGGGCACAACCATGGAAGAGGTGCTGCATATCGTTACATTTACATAAGTCATTATTAAATACTCATTAAATACTTATTGTTTTGGACAAAAAAGAGTTAAAATATATATTAATCATCTAGAAAATAATTGCATGTAGTAATAAACGGAAATGAACAAGTAGGCAAATTAGCAAACACAAATAAACTCAAAATTAAAAATACTCCATACATCGTCCTTAAAAACCTAATAAAAGCTCACTGTATGAATCGATTGTAAAACGGCTGGAAAGATAGAGGAACGAAACTAAACGAAATCTCTCCTCATGTGAACACTATTTTAAATATTTATATTAAATAGAAAAGACCAAGTAATAATTATTTGACTAAGAATTGGACATAATGCACTAACTTATAAATTATCAATCAAAAAGAATCCTATACAACCTTCTGGAACTGTTCTCTCCTGTTGGTATGAACTATATCTCGTTAACCGTATATTCTATAAGTGCCACGACCACAAAGGATACATTGGAAATTATGGAATTGTATTGATACATTACCACAACCACAATGCTTAATTTTTTAATTCTAAGTAAAAAATAAAAAAAAATGTGTTTTTAATGTAAATATTATACCTGGAAATTTTGGTATTATCGTTTACGTAAATAGTTCAAGACATTTTACATTATATATACGGTTTTTATTTTGTTGAATAAATTTCATTAAATTATCGTTGCATAAGCATAAAAAGGCGATAAGTTTGTTAGTACTGGGTAAAAATTCATATCAGTTACCATGAAAGGAATAGTATGCATTGCCTTTGTTCTTTTGTTCGTTACTGTAGTTTTTGGACAGGAAGGTGAGTTTATTACTGAGTAAGTTACTTAATTGAAAATTATGTGCGATTTATTTCCATCCCATTTTTAAATCATTATATAAGTCAAGATTTGAACCATTGATAAACTCAACAATTATCGAGAAAGTAGAGACAAATTCTGAGATACAAAAAAATTCTGTCAATAAAATCAATAAATATAATACAAATTAACTATTTTGCTAATTTACTCTACGAATCGAAGACTGTTGTGACATGCTAAATCTTAATCTTTTGTATTAATAAAAAAGAATTACCGAAATGTTTGTACGGGAATCACTTTCAGAATGACTATACCAAATTGGATATTTTTTTTGTCTGTGTTTGTTATTATCAGGAGGATCCTTGTGCAAAAACAATTTTAAAAAATTGTACGGAAAGACTTTAAAATTGTACGGAAAGACTTTAAAAGTTTTCCAGTGGCAATATAACTAATAGATGGCTCCATACTATAAATAACTAATTAAGCTGGGATTAACCAAATAAATGTCAGTATCGATAGATTGAGCAACAGCCATATCACACTGAAAATACTATAAGTAAAATTCAATAAGCGATGCAGGAAAATGTAAACATTAAATCGTGTCCGAACCGATAACGTCGCCAGACGAAATAAAGATGGACATTTCGGTTAGTTTTTAAATATTTTTGAAGAACTGTTACTTGCATTTATGCATAAAATATTCATTAATTTTATAAATCGGATTATTTTTTCACTTACTATGTATTCAGTGAATACATTAATTTATTTACTATGCAATAAACACGAATATTTGAGAAAAGAAAAAAATAATAATAAAGTGTCATAATTATACTGTTACTTATCGGAACGAGTAGACTCATTTGGAACACCTTTAACAATTATCTGTTAAATTTATCGTTGTTTATATGCCCTGCATCGCTTAATGGAATAAGGTATAGTTCTTGTTCGATCACCGAAGTCTGGCAGTGTCGGTGGCGGTTAAGATTTGGATGGGTGACCGCTTGGAAACACCGCATGTTGTTACCATGTGAAACCTTAATTATCCTAAACAGCTGGACAAATTTTTATGAAATTTTACAAATGTGTATTCTGTATATCAGGGAATAGGTTGGTATTTATTTTCCGTAGCCATAAGTGCTAAGGATGTTTAAGAACGTAGTCGCAAAATTTCGGACCAATGCAATTTAAATGCATTTATTTTTTTTTCGAATCCTGAGAAAATTAATAAATATTTATTTATTAATATAAATATAATTAATAAATATTTGAAAGCTACACATAAATCCAAGATTTTATTATGCTTTCAAACTACTTATAGTCCAGGAAATGAAGCATTTCACCTCGCAATTTTTTCGTCCTGCGTCGATTGATTTGAAATTTTAACAGAAGGTAGGTAATAGCCAAGGATCAAAATCTATATCGAACCAAAGTGCGCCAAAGCCTTGGGGTGGTTGCCACCCCATATCGGGGGTGAAATTTTTTTTACGTTTTAACTATAGGTTTAGATTAAACAAATGACTCTTAACAAAAAATGTTCTATACATTTTTTTTGTAAAACTGATATTTTTTAAGTTATTCGCGATTGAAAGTAACAACCTTTAGATGAAAAAATCAACCTTCAAATACAATTCATTTTTTAAAATGTTTTTGCGATATAACAGGAACCGAAATACGGCCTATCAATGTTCAGCGGTTTTCTTCAAATGCCAAATTTGAAAGATTCAAAGTCAAATATCGGGAAAATGATGCATTTTTGGAAGAAAACTCACAGAACCTTTTTTAAAGAGTGTAAATAGACTTATCATAAAAAAAGACTCTAGCTCAAAAATTGAGTGAGTTATGATGAAAATAAGGTCAATACCTCATTTTTTTACAAAAAAATCGATGAAAACAACCCCTAAGTAGCCCCATAATTAAAATCGATCTTCACCCTTCTGCAATTCTCTTTGTAGATGTATTGTTATTCCAAGAAATTTGACCCATTTAAAATGCTTAGTTTTAGAAAAAGTACAGCATAAAGCGAGAAACGATTTACAATTTCATATTTTTCACCCTTCTTTTTTTAAATATACCCGAAAATACTAAATATATGAAAAAAATAAAAGTTTATTTAATTGTAGCCTTTTTAATGACTAAAATTTATCTTTATTTAGATTTGATGTACAAGGAATATTTGGCGAGATATAACCCGTTTAAAGCATCGATTTACGATCAAGCACCATCTTTTTCGAGCCCTTTAAACTCACCCCATTTAAAAACCAAGGGTTCCAAAAAGATTAAATTTACAGATCCTTGTAGCTCTTAAGAACCTCTATAAAATCGTTTTTGAAGAAACACTATATCGTCAAAAATAAAGGAAATACGTTAAGAAAACCAATTAATTTTTTTCTGGAAAATTCCATTAGTATAGTACAGTATATTTCGGAGCATATTAATCTACAAAACCGGTATATTAGGTAGTGGGGCGTTATACATTCGAAATTTTAAGTGTTATTATTTTAGTCTCCCATACAACAGAATAAAACATCTGCTCATATGTCTATGGCTTGGCAATGAAAATATCAGAGCAACAGATTGGGGATGGTATTTCAAAGATGGTTTGTTATTACCCGTACGTATGAACAAAAAACCTGCACCCGATCAACTTTTGAAAATTATTTTTTGCCAATGCAAAAAAGGATGCGGCGTTTCATGTGGGTGCAGAAAAGTTGGTTTATACTGTAACTCTACTTGTTCTGGGTGCTCAGGTGAAGGATGCAATAATAGTCCACCAATAATTGAAGAAGATGAAGATGACATAGATCACGATGAAGATGTAATTGGTGACGAATAAAATTAATATTATAATTGTTTTACCTATGAATGTAAATATTTTCAACTATTTATGTAAATGTATAAAAATATATGGTGCCTATTTATGTTGATAATTTTTTTTGTATTTAATTCTACTTTTTTCAATTTATCTCCATTAGATTAGTTTATAAAAACTGCAATGTTGTAAAGGGTGATTTTCAAAAGTTGAAAAGTTGCAAAATTTTGGCAAAAAATTGTTTTCACCTATAGCACTCATAAAAATTCATTTTTAAGGGTTAAAAATGTATGAAATTGTATTTTATAGTATAAAAAAATCACTATTTAACTAATCCAAACCAAATTTCACTCATCTTAAGATTTGTAATGTTATTTTACAGTTTTTGAAAACTAGGGGTAGCTTTCACCCCTAATAACAATCAGGGTTCATCGGCATGACATAAACTATAAAGCAGAGGGTGAGTTGAGCTTAATTCCAAATTTTTATGCAAATCGTTCCAAGGCGAAATCATTTTCTTCGCATTACTACTTTTTTTTATATTAATCTCTAACAAGGTTCGCTTTTTAAGGGTTGAAATATTATAAAACTTTATTCAAAAGCACGAAACTATCATTATTTAATTTATTCAAACCAAGTTTTACCCATATTCAGGTTTAATATGTTATTTTATAATTTTTGGCAATTAAGGGTAGTTTTCACCCCTAAGAACAATCGGGGTTCGTCGACATGACATAAACTATAAAGCAGTGGGTAAATTGAGCTTAAATCCAAATTTTTATCCGAATTGATCCAAGGCGAAATAATTTTTTTAGAATTAGTAATTTTTTACATTAATCTCTAACAAGGGTTGCCTTTTAAGGGTTGAAATATGATGGAACTCTATTCAAAAGTATAAAATAATCATTATTTAACTAATTCAAATCAAATCTTACCCATATTCAGGTTTAATTTGTTATTTTATAATTTTGATAATTAGGGGTAGTTTTCACCCCTAAAGCGAGGGGTGAAATTTACCTTCTGTTAAAATTTCAACTCAATCCATGCAGGACGAAAAAATTGCAAAGTTTGAACTTTTTTCGAGCTTCATTTCCTGAACTATTATCGCTTCCTTTACGCAAACAACATTGTTACGAGACAGATAGTTGAACGATATTTTATACAATGTCTATACCCAGGTATGGATTTATTTTTGTCCAAGTTTTATATTGGTCCACTATTTCAAATGCAGTTCAAACAGACATATATTAAATTGTATGATCCGTTTTAAATTTGTTCAATCTGTAGATATTTCAATGCAGTTTACATTAAGGTCAACATTTTAAAAAACAAAACAAAACAAATTCAACACTTATGGTTAGTTATGTGTATAAAAATAATTATTATGACAGTCAAATCCTAATTTTTATAATTTTACTTATTACAATTTTTCAACTTGTCACGAAAGCCATTATTGATGAAAATTGTCTCTTTTTACTTAAAAAAAAAACTTAACAAAAAAAGTACCCGATTTCACTAAACAATATATCTCCTTTAAAGGTTTTGCGGCTGGAACTGGTTTTCTAAAGACTGCAAAATAACACAAATGCGTCTCACAAGCTTCAAAATGGTCTCGAATGACCAGGGACAAATAAATAGACGAAGGAAGTTGAAGTTGGGCTGGATCATCGGGCTTCGGGTTAAAAAATTGCAAACTTCTAAGCTTGGCTTTTCAAAACTTCATTAAAAATACGATGGCCTCTTATACCGTTGTAATACCTTACAAATCTTCCATTTAGGACATAATACAACACATATAACTTTCCATAAACAGGATCTGTCGGCTTTCTGAAGATTACACGCCTAACTCTTAACTGCCATCACACTACACATTTTCCCATTACAAAAGACAAAAAAACGAAAAAACATTACGAATTTGAAGAAAAATTCGGACTCCAACAAAACTATAAACGCTTTTGCCAGCGGCTTCACTGAGAGTAAAGAAATTATCTTTTAAAATTGATCGCATAACTTAAAATAACAAATTAATTACTATTTATTTGGGAATAACCCACAACTAAAGATAAAAATACGTTTATTAACGTTTCAATTTCCACTTCGGAAATCGTTCTCAAAATACAAAACGAGTCGTCATTTTTTAAAGTTTAGCCTTTCTTTAGCCTTTAGTTCCTCTTTGCTTATGTTTTGTTCAATTTTAGTAGATTTTTCCAATTCAAGTTTACATAACAAAATATAATAAATAAAATATTGATAAATATGGCATACAATGCCACAAGAAAATAGCTTCAGAACAATATTAAAATAACAAACACTTGACAGGAATTAAAACCCAAATTTCTTTCAACGCAGTATCGAGCGTCTCAAATCAAAGAAAAATATCGGAGAATTCGCGCCTGTGACATAAACAAATAATAAAATTCCACAAGGAATCTACGTTCCTGTAGTTGGCTGTATACCATATTAAATTATTAAAAAATTTATTAAAAATCCTTTGTAAAAGGTATATATTTATAAAATATTATAAAATATATACCTTTTACAAAGGATTTTTTATAAATTTTTTAAACAATAAAATGGTTTTATAACTCGGCGACGCTGAAAAGAACGAAATATTATTTGGGTTTTAAATTGAAAGAATTCGGTGTTTTAATACGTACAAATAGGAAACTAAAATAGAATAAAAAAAATATTCTGCGATTTTTCAAACATATATGAGGGGATTTCAACATATTACATACACGAGAGGATTTCAATATATATAAAAAAATCAATGAATTGCAAATGCTATAATATACTCATAATATCTCCAGCCAGTAATTGTTCAGTTCCTCTTTTAAACTCCCTATAACTAATTTATATTGTTACATGTGACACCTAATGTGGTAGGCAAATTAATTTGCTTCAAAACATTACATATAACATTTAATTTTTACCCTTTTACCACTAGCTCCTAATTTTTAATCGCTATTTACGATGCTTTTAAAACATACTTGTAAGAATTCACATCTGAACGAGCATGTTATCAACATAAATAGAGAAAATCAGTCATTTGAGGTTTGCAGATGCATCGCTTTTGTAACCGATCTTATGGATGATGCAATAATCATGTTTGAAAAATTATATCACGCTTCCTTGGAGGTCGGACTAAAGATTAATATGAACAAGAGACAAATAAAGACAAATCACGTGCTAAATCGAAATATTGCCGTTGATGAAAGTGATATTGTGCAAAGTAAATCGTAGTAGACATAAATACCTAGGACATGAAATTCGAATGGGCAGAGCTAACCAGACATGTGAGATTCCACGTCGCATAGGATTAGCCTGACGTTGGTCAATTAAATCTATGTATTCAATGTGTCTTAATTCTGTAATCACTAAGGAGTGGAAACATTAACATTCACAAAATAGGTAGATAAGATTCGCGTGACTCAGATGGCTATGGAGCGCCAGATGTTGTGTGTCTCTCTGAGAGACCGAATCCCAAACGAAGAAATACGTCGTAGAACAAAAACAACAGACGCAATCGAAAAAATCCGTCGTTAAAATGGAATTGGGCAGGACACGTCGCCAGATTAATAGACAACCGATTGACAAAACGTATCTTAGAGTGGAGACCAAGAAAAGAACTAATACGGAGCAGAGGACGTCCACCAGCTAGATGGACTAACAACCTGAAGCGTGTTAGCAATAACTGGAGGTAAGCCGCACAAGACAAAAACAGATGGAAAAAGCTGAGGGAGACCTTTGTCCCACAGTGGACGTATACAGGTTGATGATGATGATGATTCTACTCTGAATTTTTTTTTAGAAAAAGTTGATTTCATTGAAATGAGTAAAAACAGTTATAAATCAGAATGACGTAGTCAACTATCCTACAGAGTTTTTCAATTTCCATGTTTCACGCATGGGCAATTATTATCTTGTCGAGAAACCGTCATCATCGTATATTTATGTACCGCAAAAAAACAAATAAATTTTTTTTATCAGAAAGCAGTAAACTTATTAAACTTTTTTCGTGCATAATATGCTTGAGTGTTTTAATGGTTTTATTTTCTGCTAATTTTTTAGCACATTATTTAATTCTAAGGTGGTACGAAGTTTGCCGGGTCAGCTTGTTTATGATTATAAATTGATTTGAACATAAAAATAGTTATCAATACTTTTATTTTGTGTTTTAGCGTTATTTAAAACAATATATTTGCAAAACAGAGCATTTACACATCATTATAACCTACTATGATATGTATATTGTTTATTCTATGTTTCGTACATATTGAAATTGTTTGTTAATGAATTATAAATATATTTTTTAGATCAATGTGGCCCTAACTCACACTACGTACAATGTAAATCTTGTTGTCCTGAACCTACCTGCCAAAGTAGAATCGGTGGAAGATGTGGCAATTGCCCAGCTGTTTGTACTCCAGGCTGCTATTGTAACAGTGGTTTTATACGACAATCAACAAACGGACCATGTATTCCAGTAGAAAAATGTTTGTAAAATAAAAAGTTTAATTGTAAATTTCAAAATAAACTTTGTTACTTTTCAAATAAAATTTTCTGTTGTTACATTACATTACTTTAACAATCCTTTAATAGTGTCGTTAATACACACATCCAAATAATCTGGGGGACAAAAACAAAATGCGAGATTACCGAGGGATTTCAAATAATTTATTTCAAATATTTTTAATAAAAAGTTATAAGCAAGTGTCCCGAATATAAATTAAAAGACAACTCCATCTACCTATCTATCTATACAGCCCTAAATATCCATCCTTGGCCTCCTCCTCCTTCTTCCATGCCTCTTTATCTTGGGCAATTTGCATCCATTTTGACCCGGAGTGTTTCTTCAGGTCATCTGACTATCGCATTTGTGGTCTTCCCCTTTTTCGTTTGTGATTCCATGGTATCCAATGTATAATTGTCTTAGTCCATCTTTCATCTTTCTGCCTTAGGGTGTGTCCGGCGAACTTCCATTTAAGCTTTGCTACTTGGGTTGAGACATCTGTCACTTTTGTTTTATTACGGATCGTTCGTTTCTTTTTTGTCTGATAGTTTAATGTTCAGCATTTGTCTTTCCATGGATCTTTCTGTCTTTGCTATTTTTTCCATATCTTCCTTTGTAAACGTCCACGTCTGAGAGCCATATGTGAGGACAGGAAGTATACATTGATTGAAGACTCTCGTTTTTAGGTATTGGGGGTATTTTGAATTCTTTAGAATATAAGACAGTTTTCCGAATGATGCCCAGGCAATTCTTATTCTTCTCTTTATTTCGTCGGTCTGATTTTCTTTATTTAATTTAGTGATTTGGCCTAGTCTTTTACTTGTTCTATTCTTGTTTGTGCCACTGTAATTACTAGTTCTTCTGGTTGATTATTCATGGTTTTTGTTTTTCTGTAATTCATCTTGAGTCCAATTTTTGTTGATTCTCTATCTAGTTCTTCCATCATTCTTTGTAATTCTTCACTTTTTTCTGTTTTTTTTTGGCTTAGACTATCGTCATACAGCCAGACACAAAAGAACTAAGACAGTCATCATTATAATTATTTACCTAAATGCCCTATCAAGATAGAAGATTACATCGATATTAGGAGAACAGGGACACACTCTTCTCGCCTAGGGACCTATCAAGGCATTGATTTATATAAGACATAACAACACTAGGTCACGGAGAGGAGGAAGTTATACAAATGGTTTAAAACAAAGGTAACAAGATTAACTAAATAATTTTTAGAGAATTATAATGATAATCTGCTGTCTTTTAAAAATTTTATTAAAGAGTTGTAAATATCTACAGAGCCAAGTGATAATAATTGTAGCATATTCCAAGGAGCTGCTATTTTATATTTTAATAAATCATTTATAAGTTTGGATGAGTAGACTCTGTTTTTAGAACAGCCAAAAAATATATGATCTAAATCACTTTCCTCTCCACAATGCTCACATTTGTCATCATCCAAAACCTTTATTTTAAATAAGTGCTTTGGATAACATGCGTGTCCGAAACGTATTCTAATAATGGAAGTTATGTGCCTCCTGGAAGCTCTAAAAGACTTGTACCAAGGAAATTTGGGAATATCTGGCTGAATTATCGAGTATCTATTTTGGTTCACAAAAGAGTATTCCTTCCACTGGTAGCTCCACTCTCGAAGCAATGTTGACTTGCAAGAAACAATACTGTCAGAAAACGTTACTTTATGTAAAATATCAGTATCGGTTAAAATGCTTTCTTTGGCTAATAAGTCGACATATTCATTATGTTCAAATCCTGCATGTGCTTTAATCCAGAGACAATGTACATTGATTCCTTTGGTTAAAAGAGTTTGAATAATATGTTTAATTCTATAAATGTATGGGCAGTCTTGTAAGTTTGGTGGTCCATATTTACCAATGGATTTTAACACTGCCAAGGAGTCCGACAAAATTATAATATGGGCGAAATCAACTTCAGCTACATATAATAAAGCTTCATATATTGCAATGGCCTCTGCTGTATAAATCGAAGTTTCCGGGTTTAGTTTGAATTTCTTTTCTATATGATCCGATGGTATAAAAAAAGCGCATCCGGTTCCATCTGGAGATTTAGACGCATCTGTATATAGAGCTATTGCCTCTTTGTATTTGCTTGTTATAGATAGAACAATATTTTTATTTAAATATATATTTTCACTATAATTTGGTATAATAATATCTGTATGTAAAAAGAAAGAAGAGTAATTTTTGAATATGTAGTTCGTTCTATCTATATTTTTTAAAAGTGCTATATTTTGATTATACGCTTCGCAAAGTAAGGGAGATTTCTTTTTTTGCCAATATTTATTTGTCAGGTCATGGCAATTCAAAGTGACTATCTTTTCGTATAGAGATGAGTTCAGTAAGTATACTTTCATTAAATATTTTTTGGACAAAAACCTTCGTCTTATATTTAAAGGAGGTTCCAAGGCTTCCAAATATAAAGCTTGTACTGGAGTGGATCTCATGGCTCCTAAACATATTCGTAAGGCTGAGTGCTGTAAAACGTTGATTTTGTTTAGTAGTACATTACTTGTTGATCCATATAAAACACTTCCGTAATCCAAAATAGATCGTATGTAAGCTTTATAAAATAATAAACTTACTTCAACATCCGATCCCCACCAAGTTTTATTAATTGATTTAAGAAAGTTTAATCCCTTATTGCATCTGTTCAACATGTCATCAATATGTAACTTCCAGGTCAATTTCTGGTCGAGTATCATTCCCAGATATTTAATTGTGTTTTTAAGGGAAAATTGGTGCCCACCTAAATTGATTGTACTGGCATTAGGAAAGTTATGTCTGGTAAATAAACAAACTTGTGATTTACTGCAGGATAATTCGAAACCATTTTCTATAAACCATTTGTGATAGAATCCGTACACTTCATTCAGGTTTTCAATGGATTGCTGATATTTTTTGTGTTCTGTATACAAACAGAAATCGTCAGCATATTGTACAATATTAAATGCAATATTAGTAATAGTGATGTTGTGTAGATCTGCTGTGTAAATGTTAAACAAAATAGGGCTCAAAACGGAGCCCTGAGGTAATCCTTTGTTATTAAGTCTAGGTCCTATAAGAGTATGATTGTCTTTTAAATAAATTATCCTATTTGTGTACAGGTTCACAACGTTAGAAGCAAACTGTGCTGGAATATGAAAAAATTTAATCATTTTTTCTTGGAGAATTGTAAGAGATACCGAGTCGTAAGCACCTTCGATGTCTAAAAATAAAGCAGGAACATAACTGTTCCTGGAAAAACTATTCTGAATGTCTACAACAAGGGTTGTTAAGGAATCTAAAGTTCCATAACCTTTCTTAAAGCCATGTTGGTTAGCGGGTAAGGGACTTTGATCCCTTAGCCACCAATCTAACCTAATTTTAATCATCCGTTCAAGAGTCTTCAATATACATGATAATAATGATATAGGTCGGTAAGCTTCAGCTAATTTAGGGTTTTTTCCCGGTTTGGGAACAGGGACAATTATAATACGCTTAAAATCGATTATGCCTTTACCCTCAATAATTATCTGGTTAAATATATTTAAAAGTAATTATTTTGCGTTATCTGGCAAATTTTGTATCATAGGATATTTGACTGCATCATATCCTGGTGAGGTACTAACGCGATTATCTAGAGCAAACTCTAATTCAGCTCTTGAAAAAGGTGTTAAGAGAAAATGATTCTGATCAGATGAGAGAGTTTCAGATGGCATTACATCTATCTGGTTATTTACGTAAGGTGGAGCTATTTTATCAAAAAAGTCGTCTACCCATGAGTTACTTAGAGGCAGTGGAAAGTTTACTTTTTTCCTGTTCATTTTTCTTGCTTGGTTCCAGATAAGACTAGATGAAGTTTGTTTATTTAATTTTGAACACCATTCAACCCAACTTTGTTTGGCCTTTAATTTCAGGAATTTTTTGACACGAGCATTCACTTCTTTGCATTTACAAAAATTTTCAAGAGAAGGATTTTTTTTGTAGTTTACTAATGCTTTCTTTCTTTCCGCAACGGATTCATCACATTCCGAATCCCACCATGGAGGGGGAGTACGTTTACATTTAAATGATTTATATTGGCAGATTGATTGTTTAGAAGCTTCATTAATACAGTCAATAAGGAAATTATATTTTTCTTGCGTGACTGAGTAGGCGTGAGGGTTGTTAGTTAATAAGGTTTCAATAAACTGAGAGTATAAAGACCAATTGGCTTTTTTAATGTTCCACTTACTGCTGGGATAAATGATATTCGCATCAGTTTCCAAGATATCGATTACAACCCTTATAACGAAGTGATTTGATCTCAAAGTATCAGTATCTACAGACCACGAAATTTTATCAAAGAGAGAAGGTGAGCAAAAAGTGACATCTATCATGGAATCTGTGTTTCCTGGTCTCGTTTGGCAAGTTGGTTGTCCATTATTCATTACCACATAATCTAGATTCTGAATTGTCTTCACAATTTGATGGCCTGTTTTATCATTTTTAGATGAGCCCCACAGAGAATTATGTGCGTTCATATCTCCTCCAATGATACAAGGGTGTTTTAATTGAGTAAATAACTTATCCCAATCTTCGGTGTTAGTTTTAGCTTTCGGACACCTATATACAGAGAGTAAAGTTAAATGACTTTTGTTATAGTTGATTTTAATACCACAAGCAAGCAATTCTTTACTATAATTTTTTTTTAATTTTTATGTTTTCAAAGGGAATACCAGTTTTAATTAAAATAGCAACTCCGGAATAGCCGTCATCCCGATCTTCGCGTATTACGTTATAACCTCTATAACTATAAACAACATCCCGTTTAAACCAGGTTTCACTTATTAAAGCTATATCAATATCTTCGGTTATTAAAAAGTTGAGAAGGTTGTTTTTGTTAGCAACAGCTGATCGAGCATTCCATTGTATTATTTTGAGTTTAGCTTTGAAAGTAATTAGACTAGTTATTTTTTAAAAATATTATCTAAAACATTATTAATACCTTTGGCTAACAGATTTATATCAAGTGTTTTTGCCTCTTCGAAACAATTAATATTTTGAATAAAATCTGA